CCCATGGGACAGCTCTGTCCCACACTCTAGGTTGCTTAGGACAGGCTGCGATGAAATGAGCATGTCCTGAGTGGTCTTCAGAGCCCGAGGGGTTCGCTTCCTGGTTATGGGAGGTGGAGGATCCAGCCGAGGGAACGCTTCTTGCAGGGCTGACCTGTAAGGTGGATGACAATAAACACACATCCTTTAAGAACGGCGAGACACCAGTCCCTGCTGCATTCCTGCTTCTCTGACTCCAACTGCACTTTGGACTCACCCACCTGGTGAGCGCTTTACCTTCGGGCTCTCATTCTCGGTTTAGTGCACAGGTCTCAGCAGCTTGAGCACAAGAACAGGCTTTCAGGCTGTCACAACCTCACTTAGTGTTCAGAGCAGCACAGAGCATTAACGCTGAGACCCCCAGTCAACTGTGTCACATCAGAACCTATGCAATCAGCCTGGTAAAGGACGTTACCACCTCGGGAGCATAGGGTTTAAAACAAGGCCTGGAAATGGGAGGGTTTCCCTCCCCTGCCCCTGTGGGCTCTGACAGACACTCACTCCTCTATGAGCAGTCAGGGCCGCGGTTCACAGGTATGGCTGGGTTTCAGAACCCACCTGGGGAGCTTCTGGGTGCTACCTAGGTTCGAATCCAGCTCTGACAACTACTAACTTGTAATCCTAAGCTACTCACGTTACCTCTGTGAACTTGCGTTATCTGCAAAATGGAAATATAGCCTACCACAGAGGGCTCCTGTAAGGGGGAGGTAAAAGAATGCAGCTGAAGGGTGTAGCACAGCGTTCAGACACGACAGGCACTCATAACGCTAGCTACAGCTATGGAGGGTGAAGTCAGCTCCCGTTAACATTGCCCAATCGGTCAGCTATTGTGCCCATGACAACTTCACCCCCCTTTAGAGTCATTTTCTCCCATTTGTCTGTGACTCTCTTCCAGTGGGTCCACAGAACCGTAGGGACTTTTGGGTGCGAGGGGAGATGTGCACTCACCTTTCACCCTCCACGTCAGCCCCACTGGCCAGTTGGGCCCCTGCTGTCTTGTTGATCTCCATCGCGCCCACACTGCCCAGGCTCAAGGGTTCTTTTCTCCGCAGGAAGTCATTAACTTTCGCCCCCATGGCTTTGCCCAGGTTCTTGAGGTGCTGGCTGCTGCCCACCCAGAGTCCCGGCCCACCAGGCTCCACAGACCCGAGGGCGGCAGAGCTGGGGGCCGCGGGCCTGGACAAGTGGGGGAAGGAGCGGCTCGCCTGGAGCTTTGGCGTGAGGGCTGTGTTCAAGTTCTCAAACATGCTGTGGTCCACTAGGAACAAAGAGGGAGAGACAGGGAGCCGGTGAGTAGAGGGCAGTGGGGCTTGTCTTTTCCTTACGCCACGCCCACAACTTGTAACTTCACAGGGCTTTGGAAATAGTCATGAAAGAGCCAGTAAAGACACTCTTGAACCTTCCCATCCAGTTTTCTTGATGGGATGTGGGACTAGAAATTCTAGTTCTGCCCCAATCAAGTTAATCAGTGATGAACTCCAGCCATAAAAAAGCTAACTTCTCCCCTTAAACCTACCTCCTTGACTCACAGCTTGACCTTGACCCTTACCTTGGGCTCACCACGCCCTCTGAAGTAAAGAAAAAATGAGGATGAAGCAATGCTATATGACATTGAGCTGTGAACACACGCTGAGCTCTCTGACTCAAGCCCTGGGACAGAAGCCAGTGGAGGGATGGCAAACGCGAGGCCTGGAGCGGAAGCTCCCCACTGAAAAGCCATGTGTGGAGCACATTTTCTCCACGGAAAAGTGGGCCAGCAGTTGCTCACTTCTCCTGAGGTAGAACTTGGGAGAACGGGCCAGCAGCAGGCAGAGAGAGGCTAAGTGGTGCTTGAGAACCAGGTCACACCAAATGGACAAGTACTCGCTGCCAACGAAGCAGGAGGAGCTTGACAAACACCAGCTCACTTAATCCTCATGGCAATCTAGCAAGGTGGGGCCTGGTAAGATATATGTTGATAGATGAGGAAGATGGGGTTCAGAGTAACAATGAACTGCCAGGCTTGAGATCACAGGGCCAATTACTGGAGGGGCTAGAACTATTGGCCTTGCAGAACGGTAGGCGTTTAATAAGTTAGTTTAGTTGACTTTTTATACAAATACTTAAACCCAAAGCTCAGGTCCCTTCACTGCTTTGCCCAGGCTTGGATCACAGAACGGTCGCCTAAATGTGCCTGGTAGACAGTCCTCTTTTGGCTAGAACGATTCACTCAAAGGGCTGGATGTAGACCCACTGGGTTGTAAATATTTGCAGAGCAGAGGCCAGGTCTCATTCATCTTTGTATCTTCACCAGCTGGCCTGGGTCTAGCACATAGTAGGTACTCCAAAAGTATCTTGAATTGATTTGCCAAACCTGTTCTGCAGATGCAGAATTGTGGAGGCCAAGATTGTAGCCCCAAGGTTTGTAGTTGGAACGGCTAGAGCTCAGGGCTCTAAGCCATGCTGTCCATGCACTCACATCCGGGCATCCTCTCCTCACCTGGAAATCCCTCTCAGTCCTTAAGGTAGTCAGACCCTCTCTGGGGCCTTGGAAGCAGGCCTGTGCTTTCTGTCCTTACCAACTGCCCCAGATATTTTGTCAGTCTCGGAGAAGGAGGTCACTAGGCTCCTCTCCAAGTCAAGACCTCTGCCAAGTACCTATTCTCGATGAGTCTTCCTAAGAGTAACTGAGGTCAAGGTGGATCTTTTCTTCTGTCGAACTTTCGCATAAAGCAGTTTTCTCTGCCCTGCGCTGCTGAGTCTTGGGTCAGGGGAACAGTTCTCTTTATTGTGGTTTCAGCAGTGATATCCCTTCTGAGCCAACTACCTAGATAAGCCATAGTCTAAGGGTCTTTGGGCAGCAGGAGGAAGCTGTGGGAAGAGGAGTGGAGCTCTTCCTCTGTGGGGATGAACCCCACAGCCTTCACCTCTGTAACCGCCCCAACCCACGCATAGGGAAAGCACCACTGCAGGGGGGATGTGCCGGGAACGCAATCAGAGCATCCTTGGGATACGGGGCGCAGAACTGATCGGTTCAGGCTGGCTGGGCTCCAGGTATAGACCCAACACACTAGCAGGAGTTCCCAGCCCACCCCTACGACAGGGTTATCAATTCCTGATTCTTCTCCTAAGAGTGTGTCTTGCCATGTCATCCACTTTTGCATAATTTGCCTATCATATCCCACATCCTCCTAATTTTTCTTTAATCATGAAATCTGCAAACTGGCAGAGGAGCCCTCGGAAACTAAAGCATTTAACTATTTTCTCCAAAACCAGAAAAGTATTTGGGCCACCATGAAAGGAGAGCAAATGTTCAAGAGAGGTACGCTGGGGAAGGCAAATCCCCCCACTTCCTGGCTAAGATACTTCCGTGGCAGTTTCCTTATCGGTTTAAAGTGAATTTTCAGAGCAGTCACACTCATTTCAAAAAGCATATGGACCAAAAACTTCTGTCAAAGTGATTTGTAAATTGTGAGCCCCATTATTATTTTCAAAACACATTAGAATAAATGTAACTTCTGCATAATGCACCATTTTGGATATCCTGTATTTCTTGCTCTCTTCCCTTCAGAAGATATACACTGAATTCTTAAGTAATTTAAAGATAGCCCATCACACACTCTCTTTACCATTCTCTAAGTCTTTGAGGTAAATACATCTTGTCTCTGTAATAAAATGGTAAGCTCCTCGAGGGGATGTGGCATCTGAAGTGATTTTTATTTTCTATAATGCTCAGCATAGGGCCTTGCACAATAGTAAGCATTTAATAAGTTAGTTTAATTGACTTTTTATATGAATACTTAAAAACTGACTGCATTATGGGCTGATATTGTAGAGAAACTGTTCCCAAGCCTTTTTCGATTTACAAGAGCCACTCCAAACCCCTCCTCTGGCAGTGGTCCACAGGGGCTCTTGAGGTCAGACTGGGACAAACTGCCCTTTTCTCCAAAGTGGGCCTCTGGCTGGGGCTCCCTCCATCTCCACATCCAAGGGATGTGCAGTACGCCCCTTTCCTGCTGTTGCGCTAATGACCCTGCACCCTGTCCCTCCCTTCCTCAGGGCTGGAAGCTTGGTGGTTCAGGAAATAATGGCGATGGTGGAAAGAAAGATGATGGGACCCCAGTTGAGTGGCCCTCCCAACAGCACCCGCCCCACCAACATGCACAAACCCAAGCAGAGGGGAGCATTGGGGGCGTAAGTCATCCATAAGAAAGATGGTCTTACCTGTCCGAGAAAGGGGCTCGGAAAGCAGGTGGGAAACAAACGAGAGAGAGAGACATATTTTATGTAGTGGCCGACCACTTCGAGAGTGTCACCTTCTGCCTGGGCCACCAGCAACAAAATACTGAGAGGATACAGCATGCAAGACACAGGCCCTGCGACTAGGAGTATAACAAACCCTGGATAACCAGGTTCCCATAAACTTTTCAATAACTAAACCAAAACAGAGTTCTATTTTAAAAACTCTACAAACAGGAGCTGATGTGGCCTTCCATATTTCCCCCAATATTTTCAGCCCTCTCGACATTAAGTATATCTGAAGTTCCACCAGCTGGCACTAGGAGGAAGGTATTCGGCCAAGGCAGGATGACATTCTAAGCCTTCTGGATCCTGTGTGCACCACTCATTACTATACTGTCTCATTTCCACATGTAAATCACTAGGTTTTAGACCAGGAAGATGCTCACCTACTCCAACTGTCTAAATTAACAAAATGGAAAGAAACGCAGGTGGCAGAGAGGTCTGCCTAATACCACACAGGGAGCTAGTGGCGGAGAGGGAATGAGAACACACACATGCTGACTCCCAGACCCATGATCTTTCTCTCTACCACAAAGGCCAAGGGAAATTGCAAAGAGCCTCAAACTTTCCAGAGTGCATGGCATCAATTTACATTCCAACTCGTTCTAATGTTCCAAACCAGGCTATGAAGGAGGCACACAAGGAAATCAAGTTCTCTACACAGTCCGGAAAATGTGTAAACACTATGAATAAATAAGAGACAGGAAGACAACTCTGGGCTCTCGTGTGCCGAAGCTCACATACTCACTCCACACACTGCAGAGGAGCCCACTGCTCCTCACGGAGCGGGCCAGCTCTTTCCCTCACAGCATAAACACATCCACATTTAGATCCAAAGCACTGCATGTAACTAGTTGACACCTGTCGTGAGCACCTGGAGTGGGGCACCTTCCGCTTATATTCAAAGCAGCATCATCAGCTTTCACCCTGATTCCACATCTCTCTAGCGTGCTAGGTTGTTCCATGACAAAAGTGAAGCAAAGAGAAGGGGCGACCTTGCCACTCTGGAGTCTGCAGTCTCACCAGCAAACTGCCTATGATGAGCAAAACAGTGTTGAGTAAGCCACCCATTTGTGTTTTAGTCATTTGCTAAAAATAGCACCAACCATTTAAAACAATATCTGGTCCCTATTCTTAGGAAGTACACGTTGAAGTATTTAGGCACAAAGGGACTTTACGTTTGTAACTTACCTTCAAATAACTCAGAAAAAAAAAATGTATACACACACAGAGACAGAGAGAGGGAGGGAGTCGATAAAGCAAAATAGGTAGAAGATTAACAAATAGGAAAATGTGGATACAGGGCAAATGGATGTTTTTGTACTAATTTTATTTTTGCAACTTTTTAATGTCTGAAATTATTTCCAAAGAAAATGTAAAAAATACACCTCAAACCAAAGAACAGAAACTAAAGCAAAACAACAAAAATACCTGGCTCAGAGTTCAGGCAGATGATGGAGAAGGAAAGCAAGGATGTCATTCAGAGAAGACAGAGGTTCCCAGAGCTGGGGGGTGACAGCAATGACACAGAAGAGTGACAGAGAAGAGCAAAGCGGGGCACACAGATTGGGCCACTACCAAGTCTCTACTATATTCTTCCTTCTCTCTGGGTATTCTCCATCAAGGCAGGCCACTGAAGAAGGACAAGTCAAAACAAAAATCTTTAAAAAACTTAATCTTGCTTGCAACAGACTCCACCCATCTTTGAAAGGGACAACCCAGCCAGTGAGTAGAATCATGTGACCTTCTTGTGATGTCAACTGTGCTCAGAATGTTTATCGTCTGGACAACCCAACCAGCCTCTTGGCAGCAGGCGTGTGATATCCATACTCTATGGTCGGCAGACGATGGAGAACTTCTCACTCCTCAGCATCTCTGGACCTGGAATCTCTTCCTGTGCCCTGAGCACTTTTCCTGATACTATGTCCTCACATGCCACCAGCTTGCCAGGTAAACTCAAGGGTCATAAAAATGTGGTTTTTTGAAGCTTTCAATTGAGTACTCTACCAGATCATGTTACAGGAGCATAATTTAGTGAGAAAGTGAAATTACACATGGGGAGAAAATAATTTTTCAAAACGCTGCATCCATGATAAGCAGTTCCTGCTGTTTGTTTATTTCTGGCAAGGGAAGGATGGGGGAAACATTTGTTGTCAAGTTTTCTTCTCTAAATTCTGCACGAAATCTCAAGGTGACAGTCTGTCTACATAAAGAGCATGTGCTGGTTTTAGCCCTGTTTTGACAAGCTGGAGGAGATCTAGAGTATCAGGCTATCAGGAGGAGCCTAGGAGGCAGGATTAACTGATGAGCACATCATGGAAGAAAGCTGGATGCTCTCAGGACTTGCTAGTGTGGCCTGTGGACCTGCAACAACAGCATCACCTGGGAGCTTGTTAGAAATGCAGGATCTCAGGCTGACCCCAGACCTGCTGAAGCAGAATCTGCATTTTTAACAAGATCTCCAGGTGATTCCTATGACATTAAGGTTTGAGAAGTATTGCTCTGTGGAGTAGTTCTAAACATCCATTTGTCTATACACAGGACATTTATACAACTGTTTCTCAAACTGAGTACAGCTACTGCTCTGGGCTTTGAGGCAGGTCAGCTTTTTATCCAAGTGTTAGCAGCCACCTAGGGTCCACCTGAACTCTTTCTGGCTGTTGGTGGGAGATGTTTCAATTGGAGAAACTGGCTTCTCACCCTCAAAGGGACCATGTAACACAGCTATGCAGCCCGGGACCAGACTCACTTCCTCTCTGGAGCCTAGGGGACACCCAGGGGGTGCAATGCAGAGTGAAGTCACACAGGCAGTGAGCTGCAAGAGGGTCGAGAGAGGGGTGGGCCAGGAAGAAAGCTGTTACCCGGTCCACCTCTTGAATTCTCCATTGGAGAGAACCTTTCCCAGGTCCCAGTGAAACTGCCCCATTTGGAATTCCCCAGTGTGTCATCCGGAATAGCTCGGCCCAGCTGGGTGCAAGAGCGGTCGTTGTTTTGCTTCAGCTTTGCGATGCCTGAAAGTACCAAGGCTGAGCCTCTAGGTACGTCTTGGGGGGGTCGCAAGAAGAGGACTCTCAACCTTGCTCAGCTCACTGGAGTGCTTCCTCTGTACCCCAGACATTGCTAAGGCTGCGTTACCCACGGAGGGGTCCAGCCCAGCACAGGCCCTGCCACCTCAGTACCAAAGCAGCGCTCTCCGGCACGGCGTGGTTAACACAGTGCTCTTACCAGGTGAGGCCGTCTCTGACTTGGCGGGCACAGGTGAGGGGCTGGGAGGACAGGGGCTGCTCCTTTCAGGGAAGGGTGCCTGCGCACCAGAGAACCACCCACTGCCTTTCCCCTGCAGTCTCCTATCTGGTCCTTCCCTTAGCAGAGACCCACAGGCCTGTGGAGGCCTCCTACCTCTCCTCTTCTGTCTCTCAAACTGGTGTGCAGCAGTAATTTCTGCCTAAGTGGCCTGTTGCAGGAAGACAGTGAGGCTGGCAAAATGGCCACAACCATTGGTGGTGGAAAGAGGAATCATAGGAGGCCAGAGGTCTGTCTGTCCTTAGAGGAGGCGACGAAAGGTGCCTGCCTGCCTTCTGCTTATTCCACGGCCTTCAGCGGCCCCAGGCCTCACTGGCCCCTGCCCATGGCCTGAGGCTCAGACTCAGCCTTTCCTTTGCAGACTGCATCTTGGGGGACCCCCAGAATGAGGAGCAGCTGAGACGGAACTGCATTATCTACCGGCCCTGGTTCTCCCCTTACAGCTACTTCGTATGCAGGGACAAAGAGAGCCACCTGGAGGCCCACAGCTTCCCAGAGGTGCAGCGGGACGAGGGCAGCGGGGACAACTGCCTTCCCGAAGACATGGCGGAAAGCATCTGCTCATCCTCTTCCTCTGCAGAGAACCCCTGCCCCCGAGAGGCCACCAAGAAATCCAGGCACGGCCTGGACTCCATGGACTCCATCACGTCCCGGGACATCCTAATGGCCTCCAAGTGGCACCCAGCTCAGCAGAATGGCTTCAAGTGCGCGGCCTGCTGCCGCATGTACCCCACCCTGCACTCCCTCAAGAGCCACATCAAAGGGGGCTTCAAGGAGGGCTTCAGCTGCAAGGTGTACTACCGTAAGCTCAAAACCCTCTGGAGCAAGGAGCAGAAGGCCCGGCCGGGAGACAGGCTCTCCTCCGGTAGCTGCCAGGCCTTCAAGCAGCCCTGAAGGATGGTGGCAGCTGCCTTGTTAAAGTGGACCCCTCAGGTTAACAGGGGCTGAAGCCTATTCATGTCTCTAGAGAGATGTCAATAAACCGAAGTTAGTCACAGCCCTCTGTCAAGTCTGAGGTCACCCTGCACCACCTGCTATCCCTCCCAGTCCTGAGTCCCCGTCCCCTTCCCCTTGGGCTAACAGTTGCTTAGCAACCCCAGGCCTACCCCCTCTTTTTTATAAAGACAATACCCAAACTTTGGTAATATCCTCCAAGACAGTGGTTCTCAAGGTGAGGTGTGCAGACCAGCAGTATCAGTGTCCCTGGGGAACTTCTTAGGAATGAAATCCTCTGGCCTACTGAACCAGGACTCTGGGGGTGAGCCCCGCAATCTGTGTTCTAACCAGCCCTGCAGGTGATGCTGACGCAGCTCAAGTCTGAGAGCTACAGCCCTAAGATCCTGGCCTTCTTGCTGGTCCCCTGGGACCAGTCCTTGCCCCGGCTCCCCCCACAAACACTACGGGAGAGCTCACTGAGGGCAGAGGGTTGAATGTCCTTTCCTATCAGCATGGGGAAGGTTCTATTTGCAGAGCCTCTGCAGTTTGACAGCTCCTTAGATGTCAGAGCTTCTGAGGGGTGGAAGCGGGGGACGACATACCCTAGCACAAGGCAGAGAAGAGGCAAAGAGGGTGGGGACCCATTCCTGCCACCTATACCACAGTCCCTCACTTGGAAGGGGCACCTCTGGCTGAAGCAGAACAGAATCATTTTTGACCCAGGGGCATCTTTATACAGCTGTGTTGAGTCATGTCAAAACGGGCAGGGAAACATGTGAAAACAGCACTTTCCGTCACCAAGTAACGTCCCAGCCCTGATTCTCATTCCATTTCTGAGCAAACTTCACTGCCAGCTCTGACCCAGAAAAACAGGTGAGTATCAGGGATGCAGCAAGGACCTCTGCTTTGCCCATTATGTGGTTAAAAAAAAAAAGAAAAAGAAAAGCTGAATGCTCAATGGTCTTATTTTTAGGCCTTATTTACCTCTCATTTCATCTCCCTAATGACTCAGTGGGCCCTTTCACCACAGTGGGGCACTTCCTTTCAGAGACTCTGGCACCAACCCTCCCCGTTCATCCTGCCTCCCCACTGGTTGGCCAATAGGTGGGGTGGATGGTCTCCCCTTACCTTCCAGTGACAGAGTAAGTCTTCCTGAAGCCCCACTTTATGGTTTAGCAGAGCTGCTTTGGCTTACCACGGTTTTGTTGAAAAATCGTTTGTGGTTCCTTCGTCCCCACAGAGTAAGAGACTAGACTCAAACCCCACCATGCCCCAAGCTGTGAGACCACTCCCAGCCCTGCATACCATCCCCTGCTCCTCACCTTGCTCTTTCCCCAGGCTCCACCCACCCAGCCAGAGTCCCTGAGTCTACCTGACCTGCAGGCTCCTGCTGGGCTGAGAGCCAGGACATGTGGAGGCCCACCCGCCCACTCTGGGGCGAGGTGGTCTCCAGGCAGCCCTGACAATACTCCCAGGGCCCAGTTCCCTGAGGGAGCAGATCAGTGACTCCGGGCAAGTCTTCAGTCCTCACTCTGACCTCGTTTCCCTAAATGGGAAAGCCACCTGAGGGCTCCAAGGCTTCTCCTCACACACATCACTGTGCATGTGTGTCCCCCTTGATGGGGCTCTTGAGGGAGTACAGGGAGGGGGACGGGGGTGGACAGGAGGAGGCCGCTCATGGTCTCACTACCGTCTGTGGGAGAACCAGGAGAGGAACTGGCTCCTCATCTGCTCTCGCACTGTCTGCCCAGCCCACATTCCCTCCTCCAGGGCACCCGTACCACAGGCACAGAACATGTTAAAAAAAAGAGGGAAAGCCATCCAATGGTTGGCGACTAAGCCCAGGGCCACTATAACCCCAGCAAATTTCTCAGGACAGAATTCTGAGTAAAGTTTCAGCACAGCAGAAGATGCACCCTCGGGGCCGGCCCGGTGGCAGAGCGGTTAAGTGCGCATGTGCCGCTTCAGCTGCCTGGGGTTCACCGGTTCAGATCCCGGGGGCGGACATGGCACCACTTGGCAAGCCATGCTGTGGTAGGCGTCCCACGTATAAAGTAAAGGAAGATGGGCACAGATGTTAGCTCAGGGCCAGTCTTCCTCAGCAAAAAGAGGAGGATTGACAGCAGATGTTAGCTCAGGGCTAATCTTCCTCAAAAGAAAGGAAAATGAACCCTGCACACAACTGTACTGAGCAGTACAGGCCTGGCCTCCCCCTTCTCCCCGGTACATTAGAAAATAAACTGTCTAGTGCCCAGCCTGGGCCACTGCCAGACACCCTCCTGTCTCCTTTTAAAAATGCAGTCTCCTTGGGGCCGGACCCGTGGCCGAGTGGTTAAGTTCATGCACTCCGCTTTGGTGGCCCAGGGTTTCGCAGGTTTGGATCCTGGGTGTGGACATGGCAGTGCTCATCAGGCCATGCTGAGGCGGCGTCCCACATGCCACAACCAAAGTCACTCACAACTAGAATATACAACTATGTACCAGGGGGCTTTGGGGAGAAGAAGAAGGAAAAAAAAAAAGGCTGGCAATAGATGTTAGCTCAGATGCCAATCCTAAAAAAAAAAATGCAGTCTTTTAGCCTTTAGCTGTATGTTATATTTTATCCCCATTTTACAGATAATAAAATAAGGCTCAGTCCAGTGCATTCATCCAGAAAGGGCAGAGGGCACATGAACCTGGTTGATGTGACCCTCCCAACCTTCCTTCAGGCCTGGGCTTGACAAAGGCTTAACAAACCCTCTGCCTTCAAAATGGCTAAAAGTTCTAGCCAAAGGAATCTGGTTTCCAGAAAGTCGCTTTGCGAGATCCTGCAGCTCCTCATTTCTCTAACACCCCCCTTAGCAGCATTCCTCCTCCCCTTTCCTTTCTGCTCCCCAAAGGAAAGCCCATACCCCCATGTGTCAGGACTCCTCTGCTGAGCCGGGTTGCAATGGCACCATCGTCTTTCCAGGCAGGTGTGGGAGGAGCCTGCTTTGCCTCCAGTATAGACATTCCTGAAATGTGCCCATTGAGAATGCTACCAGCCACATATTTCAGACATTTAGTCAGGGAGTCAGTGAACCTTTATAATCTTGATGATCTTAGTTGTATCTGAAAATGTCTACGGTGTCATACTTTTTCAAGCACTCAAAACTCACTGCCACTTCTCATCTATTCCAACAATATTTGGAGTTTCAAAAGACCCGGGATTGAGTGAGTCTGAAAAAAACAGGTATAGACCGGGGTTCTTAACCCGGGTACTATGGACATTTTGGACTGGATAATTCTTTGTTGTGGGGATTGTCCTGCGCGTTGTAGAGTATTTAGCTGCATCTCTGGCTTTCACCCACTACGTGCCAACACCATCCCCCCCCCAGTGGTGACAACCAAAAATGTCTCCAGACATTGCCAAATGTCCCCTGGGGGCGCAAAATCCTCCCTGGGGGTAGACCTAACCTTGCAAGGCTGGTCCAAATAAACTACACCTGAAGGCCCCACCTTCCTCCTCTCCTTGCAGGAACATGTGAATTCTTTCTAAACACCACACCCTTGGGAACCGTGTGTCACAGAGCTGATGCCACCCCGCTTGGGAAGTGGAGTGGAAGTTAGGGGGAGAGAAGGACCAGGTAGAATAGAAGAAGCAAGAAAAGACAATGGAAAAGCATTTAGAAATAAGAAAGGTTTATTTAGCAAAAGCCACTAGACTAGTGACAACATCCAGGGAGTAAGTGCACTTACATGAACAGAATCTTTTCCCAGAGAGTTGATCCAACAGAGTTAACGACACAACAGTTAGAGGAAGTAGAGGGCTCCGGGGCAGGGGCGGGAGGAAGCAGTCAGGCAGAGGGTAAATGAAAGGAATCCAACTCCTAAACCAGAGCAGCTGAGAGAGGTGAGGCTATGAAGAGGCTTTACAGAGAGTGCTGATGTAAGCAGGAATATAAGGAGTAGCATTTTCAATCCCAATATACAGTCCATCCTGTGCAGAGAAGTTCTTTCCTGGCTCTGCAACTGTGAGAGCCTTGTGTGCCCAAGAGTCTGCTGGCACCTGGGAGAGGGACCCATAAGGGAGGTGCCCCTAGTGTCCACTTATCTTCCATATAGCGCAGAGTAGAAAGATTAAAAAGGAGAAAGGCAGGAGTTGAGTTAGCAGAGCAAGAAGTAAGGAGGGAGGAGGACAGGGTGACATCGCTGGGAAATCAGGTCTGCAATGTTCCCTTTCCTGCCCCGGGGCTGGTGACCCTTCAAGGCCCCTAGATCCATCCTGTGTCTCCCACCTGTATACCCGCAGTGTGCCCTGGTTTGGATCACACTGGGGAGGATGCCAACACATAAACCAGTGCTCCAGGGAGGGCCTGAACTGGGGAAAGGATGGGCGAGGCAGGCGGAAACTACCATGGGGCACTCCGAGGGCAGGGCTCTCTAATGGGTCCCAAGTCAACGGTGCAGATAACTGGTCTCTCCACTTCTTTAATCTCTCCTCCATTTCCTTTCTTCTTTCCCTTTGCAAACTTTTCAAGACTGTTGTAGAAACTCTCTTCCCCACCCACCCCATCCACGCCCTCTCCTACCACATTCCACACACCTAATCCACCGGCCTCTGGCTTGATCCTCAGCTCCTGCTTGCAGACAGTGGGCCTCGCGAAGCCAGACCTTCCACTCCCCTGAAGACTCAAGATTTTAATGATTTAAGAGGTCCCACACTCAAGGAAGTCTGCGTTAGAACTCTATAAACTAGCGAGACTCCGCCAAATCGGATTCCTGACATCAGCTCCTGTAGCTTTGTGGATCTCACTTTCTAGGTTTTCCCTTCCCTTGTGTGTCCAGACCTACTTCCAACAGTTAATTAGAAAATATAAGAAACAGAACCACCCCTCTCTAAATGCACGTTTGGAAAAGAACACAAACCTACTGTTGATTCAAACACCCTGGAGATCCCCATTCTCTTCTCTCCCATTGCTTCTCACAGGCCTACACACATGTATACACCGTCCCTCACATGTGTGTACATACAAGCACACGTATACACACACATACACACACATGTACTCGTCCTATTTCCACTGACACCCTGGTGCATCAAGGACAGTACATAAAGCTGCATTTATATTCTTTAATTTGGACTTTCTGGTCTAGAAGAAATGCAACTGTAGCTATAAGAAAAGACCTGCACTTTCATTTATATAAATTATAAAGCAAAGTAAGGGTTGAAGAACTCTATTTTGGGGCAACCACATCCTTACCAATTGACTCTGAAATAATACTGCAGTCTGGGTCTGCGGTTTGTTGTCCAGGATGAAGACTTAATTGCCCAAACACATGACTTGAGCATGTCTCAGCTCTCTCTTCAGGCATCTTTAGATCTGTTAACAGCCACTGATTGCCTTACTGGAGCCAAAGGAGCTTGTCTCCTTGCCTCCATCAGCCCACTGTACCGAGTGGTTATCTCTAGGCCAGGCCTAGATGGCAGAAGATAAGAGAACTGCACAGGGTACTTCTTACAGGTGTGCTCGAGGCATGCACCCACGGAGAGATGGGTCAAGGGTGACATGGCTATGGTCCCTGACCTAAGTGGCAGTGATTCTGAAGAGGGCACATAAGCCATCTCAGCTACCAGCCTGTGTCCATTTTTTTGCAATGAAAACTGACCACTACTGCCCAGTGGAGGGGACAGGTTGAGAGGTAAGGCTGGGGGCTCCGAGTCTTTCAGAGAGGCGAGAGTGCTACAAACGCTTCAGCTGGCATAGCCCCTGAGGCAGGACACAGGAGAGAAGGGGTCAGCCTCCCAGCCTCCAAGCGGGTGAGTTGCGCTTGCAGGCAGGAGGCAAGCAGGGGCTTCCACACTGAAGAACCAGACCTGAATGATCTGTGGCAGCAGAGGGGCTGCCCTCCCCACTGGCTTTCACAGCAAAGGCCTGAACCATGTTAAACTCCCAGTCTCCCTCTGAAGCAACA